TAAAAGGTAAGTGCTACGTTACTTTCATAACATTTGAAGCATCTGATTTTTCCTTAACCTGGTCAGTGGTTTGCTCAGCAATGGTTTAGTAGTTGTAGGTGCTTGTGTTGTCCTTCTAACTGCGCCTTCAAAATTAAGATGAAAGTCAAAGGATTTTATTTTCCTTTTTTGTTTAGAAATAAAGACGGTGCGCCAGAGTCTTAGGGAATAATATTTCATAATAAAAAATCATTAAGTAACTTACAATACAAAAGTAATGCCAATTTTAAACCTCGAATTTCACATGTGTTGAATTTCAATATAGATGGGCAAAACCTGTTGTTTGGTCTAGCATTAATTTGCAATATATTTGGGACATAACATTCGACGCGGTACACATTTGTTTTTTTATCAACGTACCCATCTTACACGTCAATCCAACGTCTCTACTATGGTAACAGTCTGTATTACCCCATCCATTGTGACTACAGTCTGCAATCGACGTTTCTCTTCCTGTACAACCAACGTATTGCAGCCATATTATACCCTTGACGGGTGTAAAGTCTGTGGTTCTGTATTCCTGTACTCCAGGGTAACCAAGCATTCGACACACCACCTCAGCGTCTTTCATGTCCCATCCAACGTTACATAAAGTACCCCACTGACCATGGTACCTGAATTCAAGTCGACCAGAATTGTCTGATCTTCCTCCAGCTAAACGAACTTGAACTGGTGGAGGATCTGTGGATTTGTACCAACATCATTGAGGTCATTGTACAACTGACACTTGGACAAATGTTTGAAAGGGAATAAGTAGAGGTATACTAAAGCTCGTGTCTGACCAACAAATGAACTTTTTAGATGATTAGCTTTGATGTGATGATATTTGAATGATTAGAGTAGAGATGAGATTTGTCTTTCTTACCTTCGTTTGTCTGGCAAACCACACCAGCAAGATCTTTATTCGAGCACCCTGAATAAATATTCCACCATCCACGGTGAGCACACTGTGCTATCGACTTTTCTCTACCACTGCATCCCATATCATACATGAGCCCTCTTCTTGGTGTCTCTCATTCAATATTCCAAATTGCGTGTTCAGCTGCTTTGTAACCGAGCATTCTGCAGATCACGTGAGCGTCTCGTATATCCCACCACGCATTCCACAAATAGTCACACACTACTCCCCAGGTCCCTTGATACTTGATTTCTACTTTGCCAGTATGGTTTTGATCTCCCACCAAACGAACTTTGATAGCTTTCTCCTCTAAAACAAATATTGTTCAATAAACAAACAACATCCTAATCACAATCCTAACATTGCTTGATTTAATATTCAGAAAGTAAAGATACACAATATATAT